ATGAACAAATAAAAAAATAAATACATGAATTAATTAGTAGAAAAGAAAAAGAACAGACCAAGAAACAACAACAACAAAAACAACCTGTCTTCTAAACAAACAAAGCAACAATAAACAACAGCAACAAAACAACCCTATATTCAAAATACTCGTCTCCCTGGCTTCTTTCCCATTATATAATATACATGTACATGTAGGCATACTAAAGTTCTTTCCCTTATGTTGACTGAGTCCGCGTGTTCACCAAAACAGAAACCACCACCCGACCTTTAGTCGCCCGTTTCTCTTGAAATCAGTAATTGTTGTGTTTTGGTAAGCGTTTTACGGTGCTCGTAATTGCATAATAAGGTTAAGAGCGCGCGAGACACATTAAACATTTTCAGTTTGGTAGGAATTTTGAATTTTGTGCGGGTGGCGGCCGAAGCCTACTCTTATCGATTTTAGGACCAACAAAGGATCTTTAATGTTTGCAACTTGCTCACGGTACCTCTGAGATTTTTCGTCGTTATCCGAGAAGGCTAGGTGTTAGATCCTACCTTTCATAAGATCAGAGGTGTGGCTGAAAAACAGCAGTAAGAAAGAGCCAAGGAGTAGCAATCAAAAGGCTGCAGAAAGAGTCAGGAGCCCAGAGAAGGGGGGCAAAGGGGGGTGGTGAGGGGGCAGAAAGAGGAGACAAAAGCAGACGATAGAACATAGTTAGAGACCAGGAAAAAAGGTAAAAGGAGACAATTTTAGAGAAGAAAATCTTCCGTCGCTGTCAGGTATCGAACCCGGGACCTATAGAATGAGAGGCGGATACCCTAATATCTAGACCACGAGAGCCCCCGTCGACACTTGAAATGGAACACCGATTTTTGATTCAGCAATCAGTGAGATTTCGTTTAGCTGTGTCCACCAAAACGACACGAATCCTTCCAGATCGATTTTTGTTGGGTCGTGTGATGGCTCATCAGCCACAGCCTATGCAGAACTTATGAAAATTTTTAATTTTAAGTTCCGTTAGAAAATCTAATGTCACAATATTCGTAATGGCCGGGTACCCATTCACACATAGATGGGGTGATAAAAATATGTGTAAAATACATTAAAGTGCAAGCAATCGTGTGTCTTGGTTTCGTAAGGAATGAGAATCAAAACCATGGCTGTTCACTCCTTGCGTCGCATTACATTTTACAGGTTCATTTTGCTCTGAACACAAATGGAGGTCTCCATTAGTACGTAAGGGATAGCCTTTCCTTGAGGACAAGGACAACACGACAAGAATCAGGTAAACACATTCAGCAAGGATCGAATTGTCGTAAGCTTTTCTGTCTTCATACTATTATGCTAACCAAATAAAGATATATTTTGCAAAGGCTTCTTTTACTATGGATTCTAGCTAACACGGCAGGCGAACTCACAAATCAATTTAGTTTATACTATTTCTTAACGCTCTATTTCCACGGTTTGTTCATACCGCTATTAAAAAAAATTACCCTCAGGAGTAAAGGAGGGTTTTCTTTTTGGTTTTTGGTAATTGTTTTACGGCGCTCACAGCCGCGTAATGTCATATGAGCTCACGTCGAGACACATTCAAGGGTAAATCTAGATTAGATCTAACATTATCTTCCTCATCAATGTTTCAGAAAGGGATACTCACTCTACAGTCTAGTAAATGCAAGTGCACAGGCGGGATCTACATGGGAACGAGGAGTGTTTTGGAACTCCTCTTGGGCATTCTTTTCACCTAAGCTGAGGAGCAAAAGAGACAAACAAATTTCACGAACCAGTAGCAATAACGATGACGTTACTGCGTATGAAAACTAAAGCTGGTCTTCGAATCTCTCCACCTATGTCTTGCACCTTTCAATCATCCGCTCCGATGGATTTCTCAAGGTGGGGACGGGGGCTTAAAGGGAGGAGGGGCTTTATTTGCGTGCTTCCAGTCCCTTTATTGAATCTCTATTCTGTTTATCTTTTAACTTTTTATGTTCTGAGCAATTACATTTTTTCTATCTTCCTTCCAGCACATGCACCCATGTGCAAACACACACACACACA